CATAGTCGTGCATGCCGTAGTCGTTAGACCATTGACCTCGCATCCCTACAAAGCCGGGACGGAGCACGCCGGGTTCTCACCGGACCAGGCTCTCACGTCACCAAGCGTGAAAGGGGGGCATAGGAGAAAAGGGAGGTCTCAAACATCACAATAGGAATGTTTCGAGAAGGCTTGGAGTGTGCTTGACCCCATGGCGAGTGAGAATTTCTAGTATTGCACATTTGTCAGTCTTGAAACCCTATTCTGACTCCTGAGCAAGGGCACCCCGACCATTTCCCGAGCCGACCCAAAAGAACTCGTGAAAGTTCTGTAGCACGGTGTAGCGAAAGAAATTCAACGTAACCCACTCTGCCACAGGCGATCTCACCCTGGTCCATCAACATGCGTAGATTTCTGTGTGAGAGAAAAAATTGAACTTGTTCGAAAACACGGTGGAGCAGGAGAACGAGTGCGTCAGGCAAGGGGGGCAGGGGCGTGGATGGTGTGATTTGTTCCGTGAGCTAGTTGTACGTGTGATGAATTCGAGCTCGTACACGCTTTCTGGGCCCCCCTGGTTGCGTTGCTGTACCCTTTCGTTGCAAACACATGACTCTTGAGACACCTCAAGCCTTCCACGTGCAGCGAGCAACTTCTACGATGTGGCCTCTCGCAACGCAAACCTGTCGCACGCACGACCGCGCCGACCACCGGTGTGATACACTCTTTCCCTCTTCAGTACAAGCCTTTTTTCACACTTTTCACTCACTCTCACCAGGGGGGTTAAACAAGGCTTCCCCAAGACACGCAAAGCCCCCTCCTCTCCGATGATGGATACTCGCTGGCGTCTAATCAACCGCCAAAACTCCTTCGTCACTCTAGCGCTTCGACGTTAACGGGGACGGCGTCTTGGACGAGGCAGAGAAGGTCGTCGGACGTCGCATCATGACAGAAGTCTTCCTCGACAACCACAAGCACGACTTGCATCTCTACGGACAGGGACTCGCACAGAAGGTGCGGAACAAAAACGGTTCAGACCGTTAGGGGCGGGAGGGAAGGTGTACTCATAGTCGTGCATGCCGTAGTAGTTAGACCATTGACCTCGCATCCCTACTAAGCCGGGACGGAGCACGCCGGGTTCTCACCGGATCAGGCTCTCACATCACCAAGCGCGANAGACAGTTGTAAGCACTGTGTAACTGCCTCGAGGGTGCTTGACCATTGTAACACAACGTGGTGCGACTATCCCCCTTGCGCGGAGTGAGGGTTCTCCACCCCGCACAACATGATCTACTCGACCACCATTATGGTTACCGCCAATAAAGAGAGGTAAAACGGCAACCCCGATAACAAACACCGGGGCGGGGGGGTGTACTCATAGCCGTGCATGCCGTAGTCGTTGGACAATTAACCTCGCATCTCTACAAAGCCGGGACGGAGCATGCTGGGTTCTCCCCGGACCAGGCTCTCCCATCACCAAGCGCGAAGCGCCGTGAGGCATTCGGCGAGTCGCATGAAGGGTGCGCTGCATCCTGCTAAGGGTGTTCGGCATCTTGTTTTTACACAACGTGGTGCGATCATCCCCCTTGCGCGGAGTGAGGGTTCTCGGCCCAGCACAGCATGATCTACTCGACCACCATCATGGTTACCGCAAAAAATATATGTTAAAAAAACAGTAACCTGGTTGCCGAGTTCACGAAGTGGATTGGCTTGTTTTACAACGTCGTTGCCAAGCGACGAAAACACAATCCCGATGGCAAACACCGAGGGGGGGGGCTTGTTTTACAACGTCGTTGCGACGAAAACCCAACCCCGATGACAAACATCGCCGGAGAGGGGGAAGGGAGGGAGGGGAGGATTGAAGGTTTGGGAAATAGGACACAAATCTTAGTCCTACCGAAGAGAGTTAGGGAGGGGGTCGTTTCGTGGGGAAGTCGTCCTCGCTTTGTATGCGCGCATCGTTAGCATCGACCATAATGACCAACGCAAATATATCTGTCCAACTTCGGTCATCATCGGAAAACGCCTCAAAAAGGGTGTGTGCGCGTTCGTTTAACTTCACGGTTTCCTTTTCCTGTTTCCCCTCTTTGTCCGCCTCGCCGCCCAGTCGATAGCGGCAAACGTGGAAGACATTTCTCGCAGCCGCGGCTTCAAGAAGATCATCGGCGGGCTCCGCGAGAAGGAGAAAAGCTTCGTCAATCATGGCTCGGACGGCGTAAGGCAAGGGTGTTGTGGGTGCTGGTGGTGCCCTTGTTGCGCTCGCTACTGCTACTTATCACCATATGTTGTTGTTGTTGTTGTTGTTGTTGTTGTTGTTGTCTTGGCATCAAACATCATTCCTTCCCCGTTCGTAAAGCGTAACATTGAGTCATTTTCCCTTTCAAGCCCCCGGTCCTGGCAGACTCTCGCCCCTCGCACGCTCGAGTATGGACTTGCCCTTAGCCTTTCGTCAGCGTGTGTATCGACCCAGCAACCTCTCTCTTCCGTCGACGTCAAAACAGCATTATCGAGGCATGCAACAGGAACGCCAATGGCAAAAAACATTAGTCCACGGTTCACCATCAAATTATCATGTGTGACCCCTTCATCGAAAGGCAAGACTGTGGAGGTGCAGACGACGGTGGCGTTTTTTCTACGGAAGGCCTAGGCTGAGCAATGAAACCAAGGAAGGAGCGTGTTTGCACGGCAGTAATCAATGCCACAACGGGATGATAATGATGCCACCCGTAATCAGGGAATGCGTGACGCTCAAGCCAAAGTCGCTGACGCGGCACAACTTCTACAGCGACAAGTTCGACACCACCGCGTGGAACGACTTCACCCGCGACCCCCGCGACCCCGGCTGGCTGGAGAGCCGTCGGCACGACGGCTCGAGGAACCAGATGTATTTCATGCGCAAGGTGAGAAGATTAGGCGACCAAGGAGAGCAGGAAACCGCTGGACGGGATTCGTACGGTGATAGTCAACCTCCCCCCGCCTTCTTCCCCGCACGACAGGTTGTGCCCCCCCGCCATCGCTTGGTCGCCGCCGTACGCGGTGCGCGTACCTCCTCCCTCCTAGCGACCGCCGCGAGGCATGGGCACGTTTGTGGCGTCGGACACGTTTTACATTTGTTTGGATGATGCTCACGACATCAGCGGGGATATCAACGTGTGTGTCCTCCTTTAATCGCCGAGCCGCGCCAGTCATGATGCGATATGACATGGTCGCATCTGCTCCTTCTCACGCCTGGAACGGGATCCAATTCATGTTGTGAATCAAATGCTTTTCGGTTCACACGGAGCGGTTTTGTTGTCCCACGCGCGGCCGTGCAGGTGGAGGCTAGGGAAAGCGCACAGGGCAAGTTGAACGCCAGCTACCGCAGCGATGACGCCTTCTCCACGAGGAGGGTTACGTTGATAACCGACCCCGCGGTCGAGAACTCCTAATGGCGAGGAAACTCCGGAGCCCCGTTGTGTTTCGATGGCTGGAAACGGGTGCCTGAGCGTCGCACGCGCGTTTGTAATACTGACCCGGCAGCGAGGATTGAATGACATCTTCTGTATTCTGTTTGTTTCGTTGTTCCCGCCCGCCGACGACCCTTGCCCTCGAAGGTGCTTCCGTTGTCGGAAAAGCTCCGTGCCGAGTTGTCGAGTGACGTGTAAGGGCGCGTCTTGGATGGCCAAGTGGGGGGTTAGGGGGGAGGAGGGGG